TTTAAAATGATATAATGCTCAAAATAGTATAAATAAATATATAAATATCCCCATGACATTACCATTCCAATAATGACATCACCATTCCCATCATGATATCTCCAACATAACACCATCATTCCCAACATGACATCATTGTCCCACTCATGACATCGCCACATCCATCATCACCATCCCCATTCCCATGATGACATCACCATATCCATGATGACATCATCGTTCCCATGATGACATCACCATTCCTATCATGACATCACTGTCCATATCATGGCATTACCATCCCATCATGACATCACCATTCCCATCATGACATCACCATCCTCATCATGATATCACTCACCATCAGTATTAAAAATATTTCATTCCGTTGTAAAATCTGGAAAATATCTTTGAAATTCAAATAAAACAATGAATACACATTTAAAATGATCATTAAGATATTATTAAAGTGTGTTTGATGACAAAAAGATTCAAATTGAATATTAATAATAATAAAGTATGCTGAGTAAGCAATTCACATTGTGTTTCTTATATTGTGTATTACCTCAACATCTTTAGTAATTAAAGTAATGTTTCATAACTGTTCGCCACCATTTTATTTATAGGAAGAACACATGACTGGGTCGTTTTTGAGTGCTTCCCCAGCATTGGATCAGACCCATCATTTCTTGAGCCAGTATAAAATTGATGAGGAAAAGTTTGTTCCATTGGTACTAGCATTATCACCGTGGTCTGGAGGTGAACATGCTGAGCTGCTGGCTAGGAGAGCATTTAGGGTAAGGGGGAACTGTATGAAGTGTAATTAACACGGCGTTACTAAAAAGTGATTTTCTTTTAGTTCAATATCAGATTGGTTTAAATTCTCATACTAAATTCTATTGGTTAATTGGCACATCCAGATGTAAATGAGAAGTCCTACATTGATACCAATCACATGGTGGAAATGTCAGGATTTTTTTATTTTTAATGACTGAATAGGATGATTGCAGGCTCAGAATTAATTCTCATAAAAATGCTACCATGAGTCCTATACTTTATTGATGTGTTTTTGAAAATTGGTTGGTGCACAACAACATTCTGCCATTCTGTTCAACTAGGCAATACCTGTACCTTGAAAAAATAATTGTGCTAATGGAAATCTTAATGAATATTCTAGCTTGGCCTCTCCTCTTAAATTGTATATGGCAGGTGCTTTTATTAAGATTTGATTATTTCCTCAGGTTTTCAACAATGCTACTGACAGCGGGTTGAATTTCAAGGATTTTACAATTGTCCTTGGTTTGATGTTCCGAGCCGAGATTGCAGACCGCCTCAAGTTACTGTTTGCGATGCATCAACCCCCGGCTCTGATGCCCGATGAGATGGACAGTCCTTCTCAAGAAACACGTAAGGGTAAGCTTTTGGAGAGTAGTTATACTACTATTTGAGATAATTTAATGTATGTAAAATCAACCAAAGTTTCAAACCATGTTTATCTTTGACTTGCATTTGACCAATAAATAATAACTTGAATCTTTGACCTAATAGATATTATAACCATGGTTTCAACTCCTGCTAATCTCATTATTTTTAATTAATAATGTTTAGAAAGTCTTTGGTGGTTATAACTGATTACAGA